GCAGGTGGAGAGACACCTACATTTGATGCTCGCTCTTTGATTAAGTGCACATTGATTGATGCCAGCTATATCTAGGGATGCGCTAAAAATGAATCACTGCATCTTTAATTGATCAAAGCCTTCGTGGTAAAAGACTTGATGCTCCCCCCTAACCCACCCCTCCACCTCGCATTCACCCGGGAGCCTTCAGTGCCCTCGATTGCCGCGCTTTCGGGGGGGGGGGGTGGGGGGCGACTAAGTTGGGGCCAAAAGAATACCCTTGGGTGTACCACCACTGGAGTAAATTCAAGTTCTTAACGGCTCCAATTATAAGCTATTTGTGTATGTCAGATAAATGTGAACATTTGAGATGAAGTGCCTTCTCCTGGTAACCTAATAAAAGATAATAATTGATGGACTGGATTCAAGTTGTGTAAAAAAAAGGAACACACATAGAGATGCCTAAAAGGAACACACATAGAGATGCCTAAAAGGAACACACATAGAGATGCCTAAAAGGAACGCACGTAGATATGCCTAAAAGGAACACACGAAGATATGCCTAAAAGGAACACACGTAGATATGCTTAAAAGGAACACACAAGGATATGCCTAAAATGAACACACGAAGATATGCATAAAAGGAACACACATAGAGATGCCTAAAAGGAACACACATAGAGATGCATAAAAGGAACACACATAGAGATGCCTAAACGGAACACACATAGAGATGCCTAAAAGGAACACACATAGAGATGCCTAAAAGGAACACCTTTAGTGATGTGAAGAAATGCCTAAAAGGAAAACCTCTAGTGATGTGAAGAGATGCCTAAAATGAACACCTTTAGTGATGTGAAGAAATGCCTAAAAGGAAAACCTCTAGTGATGTGAAGAGATGCCTAAAATGAACACCTTTAGTGATGTGAAGAAATGCCTAAAAGGAAAACCTCTAGTGATGTGAAGAGATGCCTAAAATGAACACCTTTAGTGATGTGAAGAAATGCCTAAAAGGAAAACCTCTAGTGATGTGAAGAAATGCCTAAAATGAACACCTTTAGTGATGTGAAGAAATGCCTAAAAGGAAAACCTCTAGTGATGTGAAGAAATGCCTAAAATGAACACCTTTAGTGATGTGAAGAAATGCCTAAAAGGAAAACCTCTAGTGATGTGAAGAAATGCCTAAAATGAACACCTTTAGTTATGTGAAGAAATGCCTAAAAGGAAAACCTCTAGTGATGTGAAGAGATGCCTAAAATGAACACCTTTATGATGTGAAGAAATGCCTAAAAGGAAAACCTCTAGTGATGTGAAGAGATGCCTAAAATGAACACCTTTAGTCTGTGAAGAAATGCCTAAAAGGAAAACCTCTAGTGATGTGAAGAGATGCCTAAAATGAACACCTTTAGTGATGTGAAGAAATGCTTAAAAGGAAAACCTCTAGTGATGTGAAGAGATGCCTAAAATGAACACCTTTAGTGATGTGAAGAAATGCCTAAAAGGAAAACCTCTAGTGATGTGAAGAGATGCCTAAAATGAACACCTTTAGTGATGTGAAGAAATGCCTAAAAGGAAAACCTCTAGTGATGTGAAGAGATGCCTAAAATGAACACCTTTAGTGATGTGAAGAAATGCCTAAAAGGAAAACCTCTAGTGATGTGAAGAAATGCCTAAAATGAACACCTTTAGTGATGTGAAGAGATGCCTAAAAGGAACACCTGTAGTGATGTGCAGAGATGCCAAAAATGAATACATCTAGTGATGTGCAGAGATGCCTAAAAGGAACACATGTAGTGATGTGGACAGATGCCTAAAAGGAACACCTGTTGTCTGTGGAGATGCCTAAAAGGAACAACTGTTGTCTGTAGGGATGCCTAAAAGGAACACCTGTAGTGATGTGGACAGATGCCTAAAAGGAACACATGTAATGATGTGGACAGATGCCTAAAAAGAACACTTGTAGTGATGTAAACAGATGCCTAAAAGGAACACTAGTAGTGATGTAAACAGATGCCTAAAAGGAACACTAGTAGTGATGTAAACAGATGCCTAAAAGGAACACCTGTTGTCCGAAGAGATGCCTAACAGGAACACCTGTTGTCTGTAGAGATGCCTAAAAGGAACACCTGCTGTCTGTAGAACTGCCTAAAAGGAACACCTCTTGTCTGTAGAGATGCCTAAAAGAAACACCTGGTATCTGTAGAGATGCCTTACAGGAACACCTGTTTCTGTAGAGATGCCTAAAAGGAACAGCTGCAGTGATGTGGAGAGATGCCTAAAAGGAACACCTTTTGTCTGTAGAGATGTCTAAAATAAACACATGTAGTGATGTGTACAGATGCATAAAAGGAACACATGTAGTTATGTGAAGAGATGCCTAAAAGGAACACCTGCAGTGATGTGGAGAGATGCCTAAAAGAAACACATGTCTGTAGAGATGCCTAAAAGGAACACATGTAGTTATATGGACAGATGCGTAAAAGGAACACCTGTTGTCTGTAGAGATGCCTAAAAGGAACACCTGTTGTCTGTAGAACTGCCTAAAAGGAACACCTCATCTGTAGAGATGCCTAAGGGAAACACCTGATGTCTGTAGAGATGCCTAACAGGAACACCTGTTGTCTGTAGAGATGCCTAAAAGGAACACCTGTTGTCTGTAGAGATGCCTAAAAGGAACACATGTAGTGATGTGGAGAGATGCCTAAAAGAAACACATGTTGTCTGTAGAGATGCCTAAAAGGAACACGTTGTCTGTAGAGATCCCTAAAAGGAACACCTGTTGTCTATAGAGATGCCTAAAAGGAACACCTGTTGTCTGTAGAGATGCCTAAAAGAAACACCTCTTGTCTGTAGAGATTCCTAAAAGGAACACCTGTTGTCTGTAGAGATGCCTTAGGTCTACAGCATGGGACTCTTAGGATCATAAAATATGCTTATACTTGTAGGTCTACAGCATGGGACTCTTAGGATCATGAAATAGGTATGAAAATAATGACATGGATATTTTTACCGTAATAATAGTTTCACAAAGTTTATTTTAATGTGCCCATAAAAAAAATTTGCTTGTCTTTAAAAATTGTGGAGATTTGGAATATTTTTCCGTAAATTTTAATGAGTTGGCATTGGATTTTTAAAGTTACTAAAAAAATTGAACAACCAATGAATGCATAGAACTAAAAAGTGGCCGGGGCATCCAATAATCAATAAAAGTGTTCCATGTGTTCAGTCCTTTAGTCCACAAAGCCACTTTCTTGCCATTATTACTTTTATTATTGCTATTCTTATTGTTATTACTATTGCTATTATCTTCCAGTGAAAAAATTACCACTTGTACTTGTATTGTCCTCTTCTTTTTTTCTTTCTCCAATTAATTATGTAATTTTTTTATGGAGATGTCTAAGACGTCACTGTTAATCACTCTTGTAAATGACGTCATTACATGTACATTCAAATTGGTTTCAATATAAAATATTTGCAACCAAATTCCCATGGCCCATAAGCAGATGGCCCATAAGCAGATGGCCCATGAAGGGAAGATGAGATTCTCCCCCAAATCCCTTAAAAACATGTTTCCTTATTACGGTAGAACAAATAGAAACAAGTCATGAAAAAAAAAATACAACAATGTACCCGTATATTAATTTCATAAATAATTTTAATATTTTTCGGACTTAACCTAGATTTGAAAACACTTTTAAGTTTAAGGGTTAAAAAAATATTTAAAATATACAAGTACAACCTACCAAAGGAAACTTCGCAGCTCCTAAATGAATGAGACCAATTAATAAGCCAAAAATCAATGCCGACTCGTCTATGTAATGTAAAAAAAAGAAGATGAAGTATCCCATCAGTAAATTAATATGAAACCAATTTGTAACAAGGAATGATGTTCCTAAGGAAGTTTGTTTCAAATGAAATAATGGAGAGAAGAAACCCACCTGTATTAAAAAGCTTACATTCTCTTCATTCCTCTAAATTTAAAAAATATAGAATTTATTAGAATTGGCTTCGTACTAACTTCCTGTAAGGATTAATTATTGGCTTTTGAGTCCAGGGCACCAGTTGTAATCCCCACTCCCACAAGTTAGCAATCAAAATGATTCAAGACCTGTCCAAAAAATAAATCAATGAAATAATACAGAACTACAAAATAATATAACAAATGTATACCATTAATGGCAGTGAAGAATTTGAACTGCAGTCAAATGAAAATGTGTACTGATAAGTATAGGCACAGTTTCTCAAAGAAAATGTGTACTGATAAGTATAGTTTCTCAAAGAAAAAAACATGATTTCATCCAAAGATTATTGTACTTAAATTTTAATGCAATGCACATTTGTTTTTTGTTTCAATGGATAGGAAATGCATCCAGATTTTAAAATATGTGATTTTAAAGTTCATGACAAAAAGACAACTTAAATGACAAGACTACTAACACCAACTACTCCAAATATGTCAGGAATGCCAATTTGTTAACCCACCCAGAGACTAAACAGATCTGTTGACATAATGGTACATTTTGGATTTTTTAAAAAGTTAGTGTTATTTATTTGTCAGCATTTTCTTCAACAAGATCCAGGTCATGAAAGAGGGTTAGCATGATGTGATGAGTGAAAGAGTCATCCCATAGATGGGAGTCCATTAAGATAGCATACACTTTTCACAGAGATTTCAAAACAAACTTAAAATTATTTTACTTTAATATAATGATAAACCAACAATGTTATTTCCCCTCAGAGCTGAATAATGTAGGCAGTATAAGAAAAGTCTAGGCAACACATCCACACAACAGGCAGTATAAGGAAAGTCCAGCCAACACATCCACACAACAGGCAGTATAAGGAAAGTCGAGGCAACACATCCACACAACAGGCAGTATAAGGAAAGTCCAGGCAACACATCCACACAACAGGCAGTATAAGGAAAGTCCAGGCAACACATCCACACAACAGGCAGTATAAGGAAAGTCCAGGCAACACATCTACACAACACTAACAACTCTTTTAGTCCAGGCAACATGTCTACACAACACTAACAACTCTTTTAGTCCAGGCAACACATCTACACAACACTAACAACTCTTTTAGTCCAGGCAACACATCTACACAACACTAACAACTCTTTTAGTCCAGGCAACACGTCTACACAACACTAACAAGCCTTTTAGCCCAGGCAACACATCTACATAACACTGATGACAACTCTTTTCTTACTCAACTTACTGAAGTTGAAGAACTTAGAAAAGGGTTAACTATGTTTATGGAACAGCAAAATTCACAGCTTAAATTTTAACTTTTTCAGTCTAGACAGGTTTCAAACCTTTATAGAGTCATGATCCCATTTTATAGAAGGGAAGTTACCGGCGAGCCCAGTACTTTTTAACAATAAATACCACCATGATTAAAGAAATCCCATTTAAATAGATTTTCTAAGAAATATTATGAACTTACAAAAATTTAATTTTGATGTTGAATAAAAAAATTACTGTACTTAAAAACATTATTTTTATTTTATTTTACCGCTTCAGTCGGGACACAGATCATGATCCGCTAGGTTGCGACCCACAGGTTGAGAACCAGAGTTCTAGCTCCCATTCTTAAAATGAGTTATTGGAAAAAAATGCTTTCAAGTTAAAATTAGTTAATGACTCAATGAATGTATAAATTAAAAAAAAATTAAATAGAGTTCAATGAAGTTTAAAAATTATGTACATTCCGATATTTAACAACTCACATTGGAGAAATAAAATGCACATGACAAAATGGACACTATTTTATTCATGTCATGTATTTTTGACAGAACGATAAAGCCTTAAATTTTTAAAGGAATGCTGATCCAATCTAGACAGACATTCATTTTTGTATCCCATTTCATCACACATGCTTATGATACAAGACAAAGTGAAATCAGCACACTGGTGAATGGTTGATAACATGAACATTATTCTTGACACACAACTTTACCTGCGGATATTCATGGATTAGTCAATAAAAACGTAGTTATAGCTTGTTCCATAAGTGCCCACGTAACAATCACTTTGGAGTTTTTGTATCCAAGTGTAAATATCAAGTGACTGAACTGTGACATGATTATTTGTTACAGACCAAACTTAATTTTAGTAAATTTTATACAACATAATTGAAAAATTATGCTTTAACTTTAACCAACTTTTTTGATGAAACTGCTTTTACATCTAATAAAAAAATATATATAAAATTTAAAGCAATAGTTTCATAATTAAATATCTTAAATTGTATTTGGACAAGGAACCAATGCTGCCTTCATTTTGAGAACTTTCACTACAGAGTTGCTAGTGGATTTTTTTTTTACCAACTTCATTTAGAGGAAAAAGTTAAACGTTAGAATTAAAGTTAATTACTCACTTAATTAAATATGAGAATATCAATCTATTTCAGTTTCAACATGTACTCATTTTAGGGTAAGCAAAGTTTTCTTTATAAGCCGTGGCTTGCACGGCAGCACAGCATGTGCCTCATCTCCTGAGTATATAGTAACATGACAGAAGTTATAAATAAAATACTTTGTAGCTTTTTTTCAGTTGAACTAATTAAAGAAAATTTTCTTACAATGTCTATAATAGTTAAAGATAAACAAAAAAAGTGCTTCACCACAATTTTTTAGATGATGGAAATGATTTCTTGCAATTTCCTTGTCTATAGTGACAATAGTATTAGTTTAACTGTACCAGTATTTTAATGTTTGAGGCGTTAAAATACAACAACATATTTTGTTATATCTTATTTAAAATTTAAATTTTTGTAAAAATTGATAAAATATTGTACTTGTTGAAAACTGATCAAATCTTCATCTCTATTTCAAGTATTCAAGGGAAATGTAGATGTGATATCTTTAAAATAATCATGCAAATAAATTGTGTTCTCCTCTCTAATTTTATGAAGCTTTAACCAGTTCATTTTGCATGGTTATTGTTACTGCATGATTATTGTTATTGCATGGTTAAGGTACTCATATTACAATTTGGCTTTTTTTTTTGCATCTAAGAAAAATGCAAAAACACTAATTACTTGAATAAGAAAAAAAGCTAATTATAATAAAATTTTCATAATTTTGTGTGAGCTAAATGCAAAGTTTTGACATGAATAGGTATTCCTGGAAATACATGGTAGGCAAAATTATATTTATATTACGGTATAGTTATTAATTATTACTATCAAACCTTTGTTAATGCTTATAAGTAAATAGTTTCAACTATTAACTTTTAATGTTTATTCCATGGGGAAAAAGTGATCACTAACACATAAACATTTTTATTGATTTAATTCCAGTGAGGCAGTGTAATGTCTCTCAAATTGATAAGCAACAAAAAAAATTAGAAACAATGTACACTTAAGAATTATTGGAAAAGGTAATAATTTGTTAAAGCAAACTCCCAACAGCAACACACTTGTTCATACTTCATGTCAAACAAATTAGTTTAAAAACTTAACCAAGCAAAATTGAATTTGAACTTAAATGAGAGCAGTTGTTAAAATTATCCAAACAAGTGCTACGATTTGAAGACTCCATTTCTGCCTTAAAACAAAGTACCTTTTGTAAGAATAGGAAAAAAGGCACTTGTTACTGTGCAGCAGATTTTATTGTCAGAGTTATAATATAAAAGAAAATGTACAGCCTTGTTGTTTTATACAATCTATTCATTTCAAGGGGTTCGTCATAAACAAACAAAATGGCTACGTATAATAAAATTATTAACACAGAGAATGTCACATTGATTGAAAACCACCAGATGAATTAATCAATTTTAACAGTAGAATAGATTTTCCTCACAAATATACTTGTTCCAATGTATCCAAATGTGCCTGTCAAGGAAGAAACAAAATTCAACAATGAGCAATTTACCTTAAAATATTATTTTAAAATGAGAATAACAATGTGAAGTCAACTAAATCTAAAAATATCTATTTTCATATTTTTACATATTGCACCATAATTGTCAATATAGGAGTACGAGTACAATTTCCTTACTAAAGACATTTGAGTTACAATGTCAATGTTGATATGCGGTTAATGTTAAGGCTGTGACTTATGAATAACAGCAACCTCTAAACTTTGAAAGACAACCTTATTAGGGCTTAAAATCTCAGTTTTTCCATCAATTGATCAATGCACACAATTCAACAGTGGCAGGTCACATGTTTATTCCATTCTACATATGGCTTCTTATTCAGGAAGAATGCACAGAAATATTGGTAGAAAAGGAACAGAGCAAACTGACACAAATAGAAAAATGGACAAGATATTGATGGCTGGAAGATATGCACCAAACAAAATCCATGTCCAATCCAATGGAACGGTCGTCGGTAGTGGCAATGATCAACAACAAGGAAGACTGCATTGGGTAAGGGACCTGAGGGGGCAATACATGTATTACATACTCCGGTACACACTGGGGTTATTTGGAAGATTATGCATTATGTTCATATGTGAAGGAGGTTTTGGCAGAAAATGAATGTACATGTTATGCACAAATTCTGCAATATTTATATCGTATATGTTATGCACAAATTCTGCAATATTTATATCGTATATGTTATGCACAAATTCTGCAATATTTATATCGTACATGTTATGCACAAATTCTGCAATATTTATATCGTATATGTTATGCACAAATTCTGCAATATTTATATCTCCTTTATAGCCAAGAATCACCCAATAAATCTGCAAAATTCATGATTCTAAATACTTTAAAACAAAAAAAGGCTGAACAAAATTACTGCAATGTCATTGTTATTTTTGTCATACCGTCTTCACACATGAAATACCTAAATATCACTGAAGGCAGGGCTAGCTCTGCATGGCCTGAACCCTAGTGTAGCTTAGTATTAGAGGAGAGTGCTGATTGAGATTGCTTACGAACTGCATGGCCATATTCTTGAGCCAGTTTCCTCCGTTAAGTACTTGGGTGTTACCATCCAAAGAGAGGTCCGCTGGGACGAGCACATTAACAGTGTGTGTAACCGGGCAAACAAGACCCTGGGGTTCCTAAGGCGCAATCTGAAGATCGGCAACTCAAGCGTGAAAGAAAAAGCCTATAAAGCCTTTGTCCGACCTATTTTAGAGTATGCTTCTACAGTCTGGGACCCATTTACCCAGAAAAGCATAGACAGGTTGGAGGCGGTCCAGCGACGGGCAGCACGCTTTGTCATGAACCGCTACAGAAGCACCTCGAGTGTTGGCAGCATGCTGGAAACACTGGGCTGGTCGACATTGGAAGAACGACGACGACTATCCAGGCTCACCATGTTGTACAAGATAACAAATGGACTGGTGCACTGCTCCGGAATCAAACAGAAACTCGTTAATCTTCCCCCCAGACTGCGACGAAGTCACGACAAACAGTTCCGGCTGGTAAAAACAAGAACGAAGTACAGAAGCTCCTCATTCCTGCCGAAGACAATAGGGGACTGGAACAAGCTTCCAAAAGCAACAGTTGAGGCGGCTACACTCGATACATTTGTGTCTATTGCCTCCTGTATTCCAACCCCCAGTTCATAACACCACTGCTGAGTCGCCCTTGCAACCAGTGAAGTATCCCATTGAAACCCATGGACAGTAACATCGCAAACCCCTCTGAAACATAGGAGCCAGAATGATCAATTCATTGATTGTGGGCCCTTAAAATAAAGAAGAAGAAGAAGAAGGTAGGTGCTGCTGGTTTATAGATTGCAGGCTGAATACCTCAGCACAGGCCCTGGCAACAGTAATATTCAGACTACTAAGAACTCCAGTTAGATTCAGAGATATGAGAAATGTGTGGGGATCCATCAGGCTAATTATTTGAATTGGTTTGATTTCATTTTTGCTGTTGTAAACTTGCATATATTTGATTGAATTTGTCCAAAGCCGTTTTGATAACTCTGGTGTTGAAACCAGGGATCTAGAGCCGGGCTTTTAACCTTTTTGTAGTTTTGTAGTGCGTCTTTTTGATTTCAAAACCTTCATATATAAATGCTAATTATAGATTTTCTGAAATAATATTGTTTATATTCTGTGGGATTGAAAAACAAAAAATCTTTTGCATGAGCATAGTTGACAGAATTCCCAAATGTATAAACTGTAAGTAAATGGCCATCTTTGGGACCATCCATATAGTATGAATATGAGGGGTGGGGGGGTTGTATAACACATAGGCAGATGCTATATAGCACGTAGGCAGCCGCTCTGTCACTTTATTCACAAATTCTGACAATCCACAAATAAAATATTTCTATTATCTAGTCAAATTATCACACAATCTTTTCTAGTAATTATCCTCACAACTTTGCCTTGTTAGATACTTAGACTTATTATTAGGCCTGCTCAGTAGTAGTTGTAGCCATGAATTTGGAGTGGAGCAGTGTCTTTTTAGCCTGGTAAAATTTCTTACTGCTCCGAGCTCCAAAATTAAAGTAATAAAAAAATCTTTCAAATTTAAATTTTGTTACCTTTTTTAAATTTTTAAAATTTGATGCTACACTCTTGCAGACCTGTTGACTCTTACGACTTTGGCGTACAATGTACGATTTTGAGGTGTAAACATTATATATACTCTGTTTATTTTTTACTATAAATATAAGGTATTAAACGATTTTGTGATATTGTTCGATTTTAAGGGTAAACAGGTCTGCTCTTGTACAACTATCTTCCCACACTCTTCTACAGCTTTGTTACCACACTCTTCTACAGTTATGTTGCCCATCTCTTTTTATTAGCAGCAATATTGCCACACTCTTCTACCAGCTGGTAAATGCATCTGTAATGCCTAGTTAGTTGATTAGATTGGAAGTGACAATAACAAGCACATTTTCTTAAACACTTAGAACCACCTTAACCACCCTTTAACTGGAGCTCAGCCAAAAAAGAAGTCTCCTCCAAATCCCAGACAGTTACAGTAATATTTATTCCACAGTATGTGCCCCGTGCCTGTGACATATGCTCTTTGGCTAGGCGAGTGGTTCCTAAAATTTTTAGATACCCGGCGCCCTTGCCAAATTTAGGTACGGTGTGATGATTGCTGTCTCTGTCCCACTTCTATGAATGCCTACCATCACATACCATATTCAACTTATCCAACACTCGTTGCTTTACCTGTTCATCTCACTCACAATTCTCTGTGTTATTACTGGGAGTTGAGCTTTGATATAAGTCACCATGTCTATACTTTAATCTTAGAAATCTGATATCTTGTCGGGTACCTTAGAACTTTATGGGATGACAATCATCACAGATATGATTGAAAAAACTAGAAAAAACTGGACTGAACCATCACTGGTTAGCAGCTCTGTCAACAGCAGGAGTTTAAACATGGGAAGCATTTTTGCAGCGGACAGACAAATGCACTGAGAGATAGAGACAAGAGTGCAGAGGGCAAATGCTGTCAACTATTAAATAGCCTCACTACTTAGACACCCAAGAATAAACTTTGAATCCAAAGCCAGTCTAGTTTAAACAGTCTTTATTCCAACCCCAATTACTTACCAGTGTCAGACCTGGGCTCTAAATTTAAGTTTGAAAGATAGGATTGGGGGGGGGCATCCTCTATAAGGAGAAGCGACCTCATTCAAAATAAGGAAATTAAAAAAGTGGTTGGCACCATAACAATCAGCCAATATTAATTGGTTTTGCCACCTGGTCAGTATGCCTGTCAACCAACCTGCATTGCAAATTACAAGCCTACAGTAGCAGGCCTTCCAGTTTCAGGGTCAAAGAAAGACCATAAATGTCAACAACGTGAACCTTAAGCAGGCCTCTCAATATGTGGCTTATCACCTAAAGTACAACCCCATGATTTCTCCACAGCAGAAGGGAACAGAAGAACAATTTGCAAATTGGTATTCCTCAATTACATCTCCATAGTGTTAAAGCAAAATTCTGAAGTACCCAGTAACAGTAACAGCTGATGCAGTTTCCATTTAGCTAAGTCAATGGTTGGTCATTTTGAACATTCATAATATAAAAAAATTTTTTTTAATTTTTGAAATCTGTGTAAAAAATACAAATTTAAACAATAAAAAGTGAAAGTACTAATAATAATTGTTTCTGTTGTCAGATTTATAATAAACATTAAGAATACCTACCACACATAACACCTAGTGATAAACTGAACAAGGCCATATATCCAAAGTAGAAACTGGTCTGGAAGAGCCCATACATTCTAAACAAAATAATAAAGTTAGATTAGTTTGAGTGCAAGGGTTAAAAAAAACTCAATACGTGGTTACATTAGGTATTCTAAATGAGCCGGCAAAATTTACACTGCACGAAGTAATTTTTTTTTTTTTAATTGGGTCACGCCAACTCACTGTGAAAATATATCATAATGCACGTGCATTCAGTAGCAACTGATCTTGAAAGTAGAAATGTACTTCCTTAATATAATATAATTTTTGAAACCTTAAACCATAAATAAAAGCTAAAACAGGATTTAAAAATAAAAATGATTTTTTTAGATGATAAAAATCACTTTACAGCTATAAAAATATATATATCCAGAAAGATCACCCAATTTACTACAATGGCCACGAGCCGCTGACGCCAACATTTGTATTGTAGTAAATGTGCCCTAGATTTAATTCAGCCACAAAGGGTTTTTCAATCTGGTAGCTAATCAGTTAAGATTTTTTAAGAATCATTTTTATCATTGGCGTGTACAGCTCACAATAATGGGCTTACAAGTTCTATGTTGGTATGTACAGCTCACAATAATGGGCTTACAAGTTCTATGTTGATATGTACAGCTCACAATAATGGGCTTACAAGTTCTATGTTGGTATGTACAGCTCACAATAATGGGCTTACAAGTTCTATGTTGGTATGTACAGCTCACAATAATGGGCTTACTACAAGTTCTACGTTGGTATGTACAGCTCACAATAATGGACTGGAAAGTTCTACGTGGCAAACATTTAACAGAGATAATCAATAACATTTTAGAAACTTACTTTGTTTTAAAGAAAAAATAATAAAATGAGTAGATGTACACATATCCAGATGTTGAGGCTGCAGCCATAAAGCTGGTCCACTGCCTGAAAAAGGATTCAATGATTATTAATACAGCAAAAGTATGTAGGCTTCAATTTACTATTGTGGACTGTAATTAATAAGGCAGTTTTTTTTTAAAATAAGACCCTCCATTCCTGTGTTTTAATCATTAAGTTGTCATGCTAAGCCTTTGAAGAGAAGATAGAACCACATCATAGAACATGTAACATGGAATAATTTAAGCCATTCAGATATTTTAAAAGGTGATTACCCAGCCAAAGGAAAACAACTGTGTACTGTACATTGGTTCAGAAAAACAAAATACTGGTACTAACAATTCAAACAGAAAATAATATGAAATAAAATGAATTCCATTTGCTTGATGTGTTCTATTGTAAAGGTCTGGTTCTGTAAATTCTTAAATCTCCACCTATTGCACTGGGCCATCCATATATTACAAACAGCAAAAAAGTAAAAATTACAAAGCCCCTTTTCCTTTGATGCCTCTTTACATTTTGGAAAATCACCCCATTCCTCCTTTTTGGTGTGCATAAGTACAATTAAGAATATCTGCGGACACATCTATAATTTGAAGACATAGCCATATTCTTTATTCATTGTATTGTTAATCTCACATTGATTCTGTCAATTGGAGCTGCATTGTATGGTTATCAAATTGCCCATTTAAGTAACCAGCTACTGCCCGTTTAAGTAACCAGCTAATGCATATTTAAGTAACCTGCTAATGCATATTTAAGTAACCTGCTAATGCATATTTAAGTAACCTGCTAATACCCATTTCAGTAATCAGCTAATGCCAGTTTAAGGAACCAGCTAATGCCAGTTTAAGTAACCAGCTATTTCCCATTTAAGTAACCAGCTAATGCCAATTTAAATAACTAGCTAATGCCAGTTTAAGTAACCAGCTAATGCCAATTTAAGTAACCAGCTAATGCCAGTTTAAGTAATCAGCTAATACCCATTTAAGTAATCAGCTAATACCCATTTAAGTAATCAGCTAATACCCATTTAAGTAATCAGCTAATACCCATTTAAGTAATCAGCTAATACCCATTTAAGTAATCAGCTAATGCCCATTTAAGTAATCAGCTAATACCCATTTAAGTAATCAGCTAATACCCATTTAAGTAATCAGCTAATGCCCATTTAAGTAATCAGCTAATGCCCATTTAAGTAATCAGCTAATGCCCATTTAAGTAATCAGCTAATACCCATTTAAGTAATCAGCTAATACCCATTTAAGTAATCAGCTAATACCCATTTAAGTAATCAGCTAATACCCATTAAGTAATCAGCTAATGCCCATTTAAGTAATCAGCTAATACCCATTTAAGTAATCAGCTAATGCCCATTTAAGTAATCAGCTAATACTCCAACCCCATGACAAAAATATGCCTTTAGAATAGGTTGACAAAATCATGACCTGGAAAAAACTGGACACTCTCATGGGTGGTTGGGGGGGGTTAGGGTTAGGATACCCTACAGCTTAGAGGGGTCCGGGGGCCTCCGCCGGAAACTGTTCATTGAAATCTGCTCATTTTAACTATGAAATCTAACCTAGAAATCTACCTCGGGCACTCAGTCTTTTCCTATGCCATATGTTTCACTGATGTGATTGGTTGTTTTATGTCTGAACATCCACCATGACCAATACTAAAAACACTATTGCAAATTGTGTGTGTGCACGCGGCTTCACTTTCATAGCGTCCCTTTTTAATATAGTTCCACTCTTTGGAATACTCCTCCATAAACTTGCATTTCTGCTTGAGCATAATTATTGTCTACATGAGAAGATAATATAAAATCAAAGAATAAAGTTCAACACCCAAAACAAACACCTGTCAATCTGACACAAACACACCCCCAGGGATCACAGATAAGACTAGCACATTACACGTAGCGGTATCAAAATTGGTTTCTGTGCAGTAACATCACCCCCCACCGGCTTCAAGTTTCGTGTATTTCGCTATACATTTACATAAGATCTCTGGCAGGGACACTGCTGGAGCGGGAACAGTACAGCCATCATGCAAGCCACACCACAACTGGCACTGGCTACACAGCCAGCCAAAATATTACTGGAAGTTATATTATAAATTAGGGAAGTTTTAGTGATTTGAAAATGTGTTTGGTTTTAGAAACGCGACATTGAGGCGTCTCGAGAGACTTTTTCGGGACCATGGGTATGATTGTGAAAAAATGGGACATCCCGTTTTTACGGGACATTTGGTCACCCTACTGTAGAAGCCATGCAGTACAAAATAATTTTTTAAAATTTTAAATCCTTACTTAAAAATAATTATAGTGTAAGTAAAAAAAAAATTAGTGAATAATAAACTAATAAACTTATAGTATTAAGTATAATACAAATACTTGCTTTTATATACAGTAACCTTAGTAAACATATAGTATTAACCCTTACAGCACCCAGCGCGTCTTTTTGCAGTGACCTAATTTTTCCCTGTGACCCAAGCGCGTCTTATTTCACCAGCCGATCATTTTCCCTGTGGCCCAAGCGCGTCTATTTGCCACATAGAGGGGTATCTAATATAAACACAGAAATGAGGATATAACCTTTCCCCCCAGTCTCGGGCAGAATGTTTATTCGTTAGGGGAATAGTAGAATTTTAATTTGCTTTTTAAATTATGAAAATCGACCAATTACTGAGTTTTTTATGTGGATCTGTATTTTTTGTTTCCATGGCACTACCTAATCGCTATTGTTGATGGTAACTTACGCCCACTTGATGAAACCCTTTGTTCTGAAAATATTATTGAGCTTTAATTGGGATTAGAAATTTTTTTTCCAACACCCTTATCCATTTCTGAATAGATATTTCTCTACATGTTATTATCAATTGTTCAAAACAAAAAAGTTACAAAATAAATTAACAGTCCTATCAAATTTTGAATCATTCCAAAATAATGTCTGGGCCACAGGGAATAATTAGCCAATTAATGGCCGGTACTGAGACAGTAAAAGCAAAAAGTAGGTCAGTACCGTAAGGTTTAAGTATAATACAAATAATTGCTTGTATATACAGTAACCTTAGTGAACATATAGTATTGAGTATAACACAAATACTTGCTTGTATATACAGTAACCTTAGTGAACATATAGTATTAAGTATAATACAAATACTTGCTAGTATATACAGTAACCTTAGTAAACATATAGTATTAATTATAATACCAATACTTGCTAGTATAAACAGTAACCTTAGTGGACATATAGTATTAAGTATAATACAAATACCTGCTTGTGTTTACAGTAACCTCATCAAACATTTCTTAAAATAAGGCCTCTGCTATCTACCATTACCATTTAATTATTTAATGTAGGAAAAATAGTTGAAAAATGAGGACAAAAAATGTGACCCAATTTTGCACATGGTTCTTTGTTAAGTTATTTCCTTAAAATATTTAAACAACAACAAAAAAATTCACATTAATATAATATATTGTAATTAAAATTATAGACACCAAATTGTTTTGTGTAATATTTATAAGAAATGTTTTTTTCAGAACACTTACCAACGGTAATCTTCAGCATTCAGCAAAAAGTAAGTACACACTATTGTGACACAGACTGTGACAACAGTAAGAATCAGAAAGACCAGCAGCATGAAGCCATAAACATAATAGATTTTGTAGGCCCAAAATGAAGTGAAAATGAAATACATCTCTATGAAGATTGAACCAAAAGGCAACACTCCTCCCAAAACTGTAATAACAGCTGGTTCCATAAACCTATTGAACAAATGTAATACAAAAATATAGTTATATGATCTGAGCATAACAGACAAGCACAGTTTTAGAATAACAAATTAAACATACTTTTAATAGTGAAGGAGAAACAAACAAACTTAAGCATAAATTTACAGCAAGGCAAGAATTTTTTATACACATCAGAAAAAGAAAAACTCATGTTAATTTTTAAATTCATGATTATGTTTGTTAAATTGTATGTACAGCGTGGTGAGCCCTAGGCTGGGGTACGGCGCTATATAAAAACCACCACTAATAATAATAATATTAAACATTAACATTTTATTGATTTTTATATTATTTTATCATTTCTCAGGCCCACTCATATAATTAGCAGAATTCCCATTTCTTCCCAAGTGGATATATTTGATGAAAAAATCCAAGATAGATTTCACCACAGTGAATCAATGAATATTAATCTATATACTTTAGGAAAGTATGACCTTATTTGTGTGGCCTCCCCGGCCCACCCACCTATTAGCAGGCCAAATAGAGGCTGGCGAGGAACACCTGTCCTCTTGGAAGACCCCCACCTAAATAGGGGCAAACAAATCAGAAGAACATCCAGCCAGTCAGCAAAGTTGTCAGAACTCTCTATGCCTGAGATAGCACATAAATGACCTTTGTTCACACCCCTTAGAACAACAAGGCTGTCGGTCGTCCCGTAATAGGGTTTCTGGGATAAAACTGTTGCCAGGGTCAGGGGTTGGCAAACGGCCCACAACTTGGGTTTATCTGGCCCACAGTGTCAGAGATTTTGAAGTGACAAAAATTCTTTGTTTCTGTGCATACTCTATAAAAGAAGGATATCCCATTGAGATTGTCTAGAAAAAAGACCACCGTTGATTTAACTTTCAAGCAGAAGTTTTCAATTAAGTACGGAAGTAGCACTGCCGTCAGGAATGTGTTCAAGTAACCCTGATTATTATTTCTCAATTTTTGGTGCAGAAATTGCATTACTCATCTACTCAGGCTTACCACTTTTTTTCTGGGATTGGTCTTGGCACTGCATTGATGCGGCAAGGATAATCCGGTTGACCAGCAAGATTTCGCCCCAAAACAGTACCTACTAGGGTCAATGGAAGAATCACAAATATGCAGATGCAAGTAACAGCAACCTGAAAAAAGTAAAAGCAATTTTCAAGATTTCAAATGAAAGTGTTTAAAGAAAACTAAAAGCACATAAGGGGATCATCAATTTAAGCACATGCGCACATACGCTCTGATGGGTGGGGGAGCTTCTCCATTTGGCATGTGTGTGTGTATGGCCGGAGGGGGGGGGGGGGGGGGGGGGGGGGGTGGGGGGGTGGTCTCAGCAGAAAGTTAACACATTTTTTCACAACTTCCGCTATAATTTTCCTGAAATTCTGGCAGTCCATATAGAGTAAATTACATCTTTAATGCTGTAAAAATATCAGGCAATGTTTAGTATTAGTATTATTATGTTGCCTTGTGTTTTCAAAAGTGAACTTGCTAGATATCGCTCAAGTAGCTACTCAGTAGTAGTTATTACAATAATATTTTGTCCACCACATGTCCTACATGCATGTGATGTGGCTGGCTACCCCAGTGGTTCTTAAACTACTTTGATTTCAGGCGCACATGCCAAATTTAGGTTTTAATAAGTACACATAGAAATAGCAAATACATTAAAATAATAAACCAATGGTTGGTTAAAAATAAATAAAACATGTCTGTAAGTCACTAAGTGCCATCTAGTCATTGCTGACAGTTAATGGTACTCATTTTAATTCATGTCGTCACATCAGACCTGTTTACCCCCAAACTCCTAAAATCGTACAATATCCTCTCAAAATCGTACAATACAGTATTTTGATAGTAAATAAATAAAATACCGTACATGTATATATAATGTATACAATAACTACTCCTATAGCATGTTCAGTGGAATCGAGTTAAGCTGGCGTCAAAATATAGAACTGAAGGTAAACAGTAGTTGACTGACGTTAGCCGCAAACTGCGGTCACTTTGTTTTGCAGACGTGTATCTCTAATACATATCAATTACTATTTGAGTTAAAGTGCTGATCACATTATCCCAGTCTGTCACAGGTCAAAATAAAATCACTGGTGAAAGTTCAAACTTGACTTCAGATAAGCATAAAATAAAATGTATTAAAATAAGAATTAATTATCCGGTAACAAATTGGGACCCCCACCCCTTTTTGTGTGTGTACGGTACAGTGAGCTTTAAAACACCGGCAGCTTGCACCCCCCCCCATAAACTTAACAAAATCCATTGAAATCCATTGTATATTATGTTACAGTAAACAAAATGTGACACGGGTTTTCACCACTGGTGATTCGGCCAGCCCAGTGGTTCCCAGGATAAACGCCACATCACCCTGGGTGCTCGTTGTCCTCGGGCAAGGGGGAGGCTGCGGCTTCCTCATCGGGGCGTTGCAAAATATTTTTAAAGAATGTATTATTTTATTTTCACTTTTAAACCAATGTGACAACTTTCGGTAGTGGTGCAAACTGTAACCCAATAAGCAATTGCTGTTTACAGTTCCAGATGGCGCTCAGTGACCTACATACACGTTATATTTATTTTTATTTTATCCAACCCTTTATTTTATTTGTGTATTCGCTATTTCGAAGTGTACATGTTAGAATTTGACACAGGGACCCTGGCGAAAACGCAGTATGGCATAGGCGCAGGGAAATGAAAATCTTAGAACCACTGGCGTAGCCCACCGAATTGAACACCATGCGTAGCCTTACCATTCGGTGGACTAAACATAACTGTAATTTCTCTAATTCTGAGTTTAGGTATAGGTAGCGAGATCATTTGTGAAAATACATCTTGACAACATCACAGCGATAATTCCTACTAAACATTGTCTGGTATATTACAGCATTCGAAATATAAATGTGCTATTTTAGGACTTTCAGAGTTTCGGGATGAATAGTGTAGCATTTTTAAATACCGCATGTACTTTCTGCCGAGGAATATCCCCAGACCTGTTTACCCCCAAACTCCTAAAATCGTACAATATGGTCTCAAAATCGTACAATGCAGTATTTTGATAGTAAATAAATAAAAATACAGTATATATAATGTATACAATAACTACTCCTATAGCGTGTTCAGTGGAATCGAGCTGAGCTGGCGTCAAAATATGGAACTGTAGGTAAACAGTAGATGACTGACGTTAACGGCAAACTGCGGTCACTTTGTTTAGCAGACGTGTATCGGCTAATACATATTAAAACTTGACGTCTGATAAGCATAAAATAAAATGTATTAAATTAAGAATGAATTACCCGGTAACAAATTGGAACCCCCACCTTTTTTGTGTGTACGGTACAGTGAGCTTTAAAACCCCAGCCCCCCCCCCCCCCCCCCATAAACTTAACAAAATCCATTGTATATTATGATGTTACAGTAAACAAAATGTGACACGGGTTTTCACTACTGGTGATTCAGCCCAGTGGTTCCCAGAATAAACGCCACATCGCCTTGGGTGCTCGTTGCCCTCGGTGGCTGCGGCTTCCTCATCGGGGCGTTGCGAAATATTTTTAAGAATTCATTATTTTATTTTCACTTTTAAACCAATGTGACAACTTTCGGTCGTGGTGCAAACAGTAACTCACTAAGCAATTGCTGTTTGCATTTCCCGATGGCGCTCAGTGACCTACATACACGTTATATTTATTTTTATCCAACCTTTATTTTATTTGTGTATTCGCTATTTCGAATTGTACATGATAGAATTCAACACAGGGAGCCTGGTGAAAACGTAGTGTGGCATAGGCGCAGGGAAACGAACATTTTAGAACCACTGGCGTAGCCCACCGAATTATACGTAACACGTGGCCTTACCATTCGGTGGACTAAACATTACTGTAATTTCTCTAATACTGAGTTTAGGAATAGCCAGCGAGATCATTTGTGAAAATACATCTTGACAACATCACGACGGTAATTCCTGCAAACATAGGCTGGTAAATATCAATGTGCTATTTTAGGACTTTCAGAGTTTCGGGATGAATATTGTAGTATTTTTAAATACCGCATGTACTTTCTGCCGAGGAATATCCTGCCCCCCCCCCCTTTCCACACCCCACAAACTGACATTACGAAAATGTAGGTGGCGGAGTTGATTTTATAGATTTAAATATTTAGACCCGCGCCATACACACTATCTCCTAAATCCACACCACTCATTTTG